CCTTGTGAGTAAACTCGGTAAGTTAAACAAATGATTATTAAATTAAATATCGCAACTTTTCTCTACAGTATTGATTTAATCGCATGCGCAAAATATTACAATACCTAACACACTTTTTTCCACCACTAATCCTTTTCCCATAAATGATTGTTTTATGTTAGATCAAAGAACACTGAGCGTTAAAACAATTATATGTTTCGCTAGATACTGGTTTCTATAGACTAAAGCTTTAAAATAATACTATTATTGCAGAACTGAAGTTGGCCGAATGACCGTGTGAACTTATGCTTATGATCTGGGCTTTGGGCTAGTGCTAGCTCATTATTTTGCAGACTTTATACATCAATAATGGATGCATGGATTCTAATACAAATGCATTCTTATTCAGAGCTGTAAAATGAGGTGTCTATATTGGCTGAGAGATAATATTTACCAAAATTAGTTGGTGGCAGTAACTTCTAAGGAAAATAAGGAACAAGACTGTATATTTCAGAAGCTAATGGGGATCTAAATGATTTGTTTGATCCATCAAATAAAAATACATATCTGTGAACTCTGCCTCACATCAAATCTGCAAACAGTTTTTTCAATCGTTCCCAAGTAGAATGCATTTCATACACTGCAGATCATGAAGTACAGTGAATATTTCAAAGTAATGTGTCTGTAACTTGATCCCTACACTTCTCTCCAAAGGACCACACTTTGTATTGGCATCTCATGATTCTCTAATGAACACTTTTAATGGTGATTTAATAATGACACCATCGTAAACATACTTTCTGTTGTGTGGCTTCAGTGTGCAAGGCAGATTCACACAAGTATTGACTGTGTAAAGTCCGCATGGAGCTGGGCCAGTGCATTTGGTCGGCCCTCTGGATGATGCAAGGGGGTTGATGTGCCCCTGATCTCCTGTACATTTAGAGGCTGGAGGTAAACATTTGGGGCAGTGAAATTGCCTATAGTTGCCTGCTGGATCATATTACAGTTGGGCCTCATTGGCTAGTTGTTTGGCAGTTCCACTGAACTCATACTATTCCGGGATGAAATTTGTGAAGCATGCTACAAAATTGTGGCTTAATTTGTATCGTTGTGACTCATTGTTTTTTAGCTTTACTGGAATATTGAAATAAGTGATTTCCCAAATCCGATCCGGGAAGCATTGTACTGACTTGTGTAAGGCACCGAGCCTTGTGAAAGTGTGTATACAGCTTGAACTTCTGCACATTTTTCAACCACAAACATAGATTTATATTTTACTGAAGGACCACAACAAAGTAACTGACATATGAATCAAAATGATGCATTGTTTTGCCAATTAAAAAACACGAAAACAAATGAAAGTAGGGTATTTTAGTCATTTTTCTTACTGCACACGTTAATATTTGGAATCCCCAGCTCCAGCAACTTTTGTTGAATGCTGTCCTGTATTTTGCGCCATCAATCTTCCCACTCTGAGGATGGGTGTCCCCGCTGAAGAGAAGCAGCTCCATAACACGATGCTACCACCCCCATATTCGATTGTGCACTGAGGGAGTGACACAAAACATTTTTAATTAGCTCCAAAATGTCAAATCTGAACTCTTTTGACCACAGCACCTACCACAGGTTGAATGTATCCCCCCTTTTTCTTCTTGCAGCTTATTATATTGTTGGGCTAAATGTGATGGCATTTTAGCATTTTTCACATTGTCCATTTTTCACGAATTTCATTGGATTTATTGCCCAATCCGAGCTGCGTTCAAAAACACCAGTTGACATGCTCTCAGTGCGGCTGTGTTTCTTTGTTATGCCGCACAGGCTCGGTGTGCTCTGCTACTGGTGAATTATTGAGCGTGTTGGTGTTGCTTCAGATCAGCCAGCCTCACATGATGCGACTATGAAACCAGGTATGGAGTCGCTTTGTCCGTTACGCACAGAGGCACCCACATCTTTTGTCTTGAGTGGCAGAGAATGGCGTAGTAGGCCCACTATGAGATGCCGTATAAGTGTCTGTTGCCCTTTGTTTGAAGGTCTGTGTCCTGATCGGATATTGATATTTCAGTTTCTCAAATAACACATGTTTTTTGTATTAACAGAAAACAAGTAAAATACCACCTCATACTGTTTGCATCTTATAACAAAACATGGGAATAAACATTGCATATTTGCGCAAGAAAAATCCCTGTGACTCTGAGTCACTGACTGTCACACATTTTTCATCGCCCAATGTGTGACCAACAATGCATGCAGGCAAAAACTCGGTAATCAGTGAACCCAAACGGACTGCAAGGGACTAGTTAGACTGGTTAGTTACATAGGCAATTTTTGGGCAATTTTTGGGTGATTTCAAAATTGGTTCCCGAAGCTTTATGTAATTTGGGCCCTCAATGCTGCAAAAAAATCCCGGGTAACTCAGCCGAACTAATAACATACTTTCTAATCTAATCAATTCACGGGAGCTTATCAGTATTGGATCAATATCAGGAGTTAAAATATCGATACTTGGAACCAAAAAACCAGTTAACAATCACATTGTTCAAATTGCTTGTGAATCTGGGTTAAAGAAATCTTCCAGGTATCGACCGGCCTCCTCGGTCCAAAACTGTGGCCCTGACAACATACAGTGGTCCGTCGCTCTAACACGATTCACCTTTTGTGGCCCCCTTTTATGCTGATTTTTGGTGTGTAATTTGCCGTGCTTTTTTACGCGTATACAAAAACACCATAAACTACATATAACTGCTAGTATAACATGCAGCAGTAGTGAGTTTCGGTGGTTAGAAAAGTGCATTAAAGTGGGGTGAGGGGTTTTGCCGCCTCAAAACTTAGAGCTACATTATTTTTTAGAACTTATAAACTTAACCGAGAGACCACTGTATATTTATAACTATTTCACACAATGGTCCTGATCGAGCCTGTCTCCATTTTTCCAATCAAGTGCATAAATTATTGCTTTCATTTTTAAACTTAATATTTCAGTTCAAAACTCAATCCCCAGTGAGCGTTTTATTGACATAGTTATTAAACTTTGAGAGAGGACAGAAAGGCAACCTGCAAAACCAATTAATTTACCTCAGAATCTGATTGAAATGGTTGGTGGACTTTTATAAAAAAAAACCCAATGGAGAATCACTATTATTTGCATTACAGTATCTTCATAATTGCTGCTTTCTGATTTGATAATTCCACCAATTTAAACTACAGTTAATCTACAGCCGCGATAACAAAGCCCCCGGTGAAAGAAAGCGACCCAAAGGGAAAATTGCAGCGTAAAAGAAATACAAAAAACCCAGTCTACAATTAAGAAGGGAGTTTAATTGCTTGAGTGTTGAATTAATATTATCAAATTTGCATAACAAACAGGAGTACATGTGTGATTAAAAGTTGTTTATGAATAGTGTCCCCAGTTGCTTCGCGCTCAGAGTAAATTTATTCCGTCTGAAGTTCCGTCGTGTGCATATTTATAGACCCCCCGTGTGGTCTGGAATGGGGAGTATGGCCTCATCTGCTCTCACTGTGGATTGTACAAGACCGGGCCGACTCGACCGCCTGCCAAATTATGTCATTCATAATGTTCTCGCCGAACTATTGTGCTGTGCTGCAATTTTTGGGTCTTGCCGTCTCCGAGGACGATTGAAATCTACGTTGACATTTCCAACTGGGTTTTTTGCGGGAGGGATTAAGGACGATGATGATCCGGGACGTTTGAGGGCATCTGAAACTGAAGGATTTTATCTAATTTTAATAATCCATTGCTACTTATTATTATAATCCCTTGTGTGATTTTAATTGGCTTTTTAATGGGGATTTTGGTGTGTTTTATGTGATGATTTGTGCCTTGTGTGATGTGGACTGTGAAGAGCTCTATGAATAAAGATTGATTCATTGATTTATTATGGACAGTGGTCATCCCGCTCCTTATGGACCAATGGCTCTTATGTCTTTGTTATTGTAGTATTTACTATTTTTGCTGTGATTTAGGGAAATACAAAAATAAATTGAATTGTAAATGAGGTGTTTTACGAGCTCTCGAGTTGGAAGGATGCCAAGTTTCTGTGTTAAGGAAAAGAATGGCATCGAGGTCTTCAACCTTTGTCAACAGGGCACAAGAGAAAAGCCGACATCATGTAGATATTGAGACGGTCATGGTTTGTTGGGAGATTTCTGACCATCTCTGTGACTGTAATTATTGGTGACATTGTCATGACATGGCATGTCAGACCCTAAAGATAGTTATTTTGTCGCTCTAGGCTCGACATGAAAGATGTTTGTGTTTTTCCCTCCTGTATGCGATGCTCGGGCTGCACTCTTTTATTTCTATATATGTGTTTTCAAAATAGTGTGAACTATGATTTAAGCCTCCACAGTTCCCACACAGAGTAATTTAGTCCCAAACTCACAGATAAAGTTTGAGGCTTGTGTGTGATCTGTTATTATGTGATGAATACCACAATATCACAATATTCTTTAATTTTAGAGCTTTTAAAACTGCTTAAACAGCCGCAGCATCATCAGCAGAATGATATATGGTTGTTTTTCTGAGGAAAAAAACTCCTATTACCATCAATGCTGCGACTTACTGTAATAATGATAATTGAAAATCATTTCAGGGGCCACTAAATCATTCTTGCAGGCCGTATTTGGCCCACAAACCGGAGTTTGACATGCCAGGTCCCATTAATCCATTTGTGATCTGTAATTGAGAGCACCTTTACCTTCTATGGCTGCTATGTGCGCTAACGGTAGCCTTGTGGCTGTGTTTGCTCCATCAACTGATCTGTTCCTCCTGTGACCACCACAGTGGGGCGGCTGTAAAGTGCCAAGCTGTCCTTGTGTCCTTAGGCAAGACACTTCACCCACATTATACTATATTTACTTAACTACTATAGTAGTTTATCACCACCGTGTATGGAGTGAATGAATAATGACATGTGATGCATCTTTGAGTGTCCTGAAAAGCGCTGCATAAAACTTAGACATTATTGTTATTAACATGTTTCCAACCCTGTGTGTGTTTCCAGCCCTCCAGTGTTACTGTGAACGCTGCAGCACCAACACCAGCTGCACCACGGATGGGATCTGCTACGTGGCCATCCGCCGCAAAGGAAGCCAGCTGATCACCGAACGGAGCATGTGCGTCCACGAGAGCGAGCTGTTCCCGCGCGACCGGCCCTTCATCTGCGCCCAGTCCAGCAAGCATGAGGCGGGCATCTTCCCCATCTGCTGCCTCACCGACTACTGCAACAAGAACCCCGACCCCACCAGCATCCCAAGTCAGTCTCCATGACAAAGATCAAGATTTATTCAGTGTTTGTGTCTATATCTGCACATCTGCAATTTCTCTCTGTTTGCTTATCTCAGACGCAAAGATTCAGATTCAAATTCATGTTATTTGCCATTTAAAATCAAATAAGATAGACTTTATTGATCTCAAAATGCAGAAATGTACGTGTCACATTTGGCATAAATATCATCACTGTGGATGTGGGAAATGTTAAAAGTGAAAGAGATGAAGTAAAACCACATTGGAATACATGTGCAAAAAGTCCCCAGTGTGCACAAGACAAGCACATATATAAAACAAGGTTAAAAGTACAGGAATAAGACAATCTGGCACCATCTTGCTCGGGATGTGAAGTGCATCCGAGTTTTGTTTCTTGTGTAGAAAGAAATATCATTGTTTAAATATCAACAGATCCCCTACTCTTGACTACTGCACAGACCCCAATTGTGTAATAAATTGCCCTATGCAGCAAAAACATCCTGTGAGAACTCAGGAAAAAGTAAACACGGACACATGTTCTATGTTTTGATCATAAATTGTAGTCTTCCATGTAATCGGTAAACATGAATCAGTCATTAGCTGTGATGAGCCTTTACCCACAATCCTCTTGCTCAGCTGCACCGGGCGTCTCTCAATCCGTTTGGTTTGTAACATTTCCCAGAAACATGTCCACAAAAGTCTAACTTGCGCTCTCTAAAAGAACAAAAAAGCCTGTGTTATTTGAGTCCTAGAGTACATGTCCTGTATGTTAAAAGAAATCTCTGACTGTGTTTGTGCAGTGCCCTCAGCGAAGACCCCTACACTGGGTCCTGTGGCTCTGGCAGCTGTGATCGCGGGGCCAGTGTGTGTGCTGTGTCTGCTGCTGGTGGTGGCCTTCTACGTGTGCCACAGTCACAGGGGTCTGGGGGCCGGGGGGGCAGCCCACCACCACCGGGTCCCCAATGAGGAGGACCCACACATGGACCACCCCTTCATCACTGTGGGCACGACGCTGAAAGACCTGATCTACGACATGACCACCTCTGGATCAGGATCCGGTCAGTACAACAGCGAGCCGCGGGGAGTGTTATGGTTCTTCAGATACAAATGTGTTCAAATGATTAGCTTCGTGTCTTTGTGATGAGTGATTAGTGAGTGACTTGTTCATTGCTGTAGCAGCAGTGTCCTTCTTTCATCTGAAAACTCTGGACACCAGTGTACTTTACTTGTTTACAGACACAGATCACAGCATCTATAAGGAAGAGCAACTGAGAACTACTACGTTGCATCGTCAGCTGTTGTGTGAAAGTGAACAACTTCACAAGTTCTAAATGTGGGATTTGTTGGCCCTGTGGTCTAAAACAGTATCTCAGGTGTGCAGTGTAACATTTTCCATTAATGCCACATCCGAGTGCAGCGTGAGCCCCGATCTGTGTGTGGATATCCCTCTCCCGTTGGCACAGGCTGTTCTGGCCCTGCCATAAATTAACACCTCTCTGTGGAGGCTGGCGCCTTCCGCACACTGCCAGCACACGCCGTTTAGTCACTCTCCTGCTGCAGCCAGCATATTGAGAGTGTGAGGAGAGCCGGCTCATTTACAGTCTCCCGTTTGTTTAGAATCCTCCAGAGAACATACTATTTTATTCTTAACTCCGGGCGTGACAACCTCACCTTTTCCTAGCTTAGAGCTTGGGAGCATTGAACCAACAACCACCAGGCAGAGATCAAAAATGATGGTGATTGATAAAATGTTACATTATGCTGTGTGATGAATAACACTTATTTTAGTTTCATTTCTGGAACTTGATTGAAAGAAATCGACATTGACTTGGTTTGAACTATTTTCTTTAGAAATTCAGACACATCCACATCACGAGTGTCCGAATCACACACAGTGGTTCTTAGGAGAATTAGAGGTCATTGAGGCAGGGGAAGCTCTCTGACCTCCAGGTCCACTCGATGCTGGTCCCAGTTGTTTGTGTATTAACCTCTGTTATCAAACCTTGAATCATAAAGTAGGCGCTGTGGTTGTGGTTGATATTTCCCCATGTGGTTTAAAAGCCTCTGTTGGGGGTTTCTGCTACAGGCCTTATGCTGATGCTTAACTGTGAGTGTGAAGTAAAATGGCAGGTGCAGTGCTTTGGTTCTGAATGTACATCTTGTTAATGAGTGCTAACCATCTTCCATACACTCGACCCCCGGATGATATGCTCCCTGGAGTCAGTTCCACTTAGAGGAGACTCTTCACACACAGAGTTTCTTGATTGGACCAACTCTCTCTCTCTCTCTCTCTCTTACTCTCACTCACTCTGAGCTGTTGCCCCTTGAACACGTCTCAGACCCCTCTGAATCTGGGCGTTTGTTTTTGAAAAGAAACTCTGCGTGATCCCACCTGGTCCTGGGTTTGATCCCACCTTCAGACTAGGCCTTTCTGTGTAGGGTTTTCATGTTCCCCCGTGTCTGCATGAATATCCTCAGGGTGCTTTGGAGGCACCACTACCACTAAAAACATGTAATAGGTCTGGCCTCTCTGCGGAGTGAGAGGACAAATGCCCACAATGTAAAGTGCTTTGTGGCCCTGGTCTGTGAAAGGCGCTTTATAAATAAAGATTTCTTACTTGCTTATATTCAGAGACCCACTCAACATAACGCTTCTTTGTGCCGTGCTTCTCCCAGGTCTGCCGCTCCTGGTGCAAAGGACCATTGCCCGGACCATCATCCTGCAGGAGAGCATCGGGAAAGGCCGCTTTGGGGAGGTGTGGAGGGGAAAGTGGCGTGGCGAGGAGGTGGCGGTCAAAATCTTCTCATCCCGCGAAGAACGCTCCTGGTTCAGAGAGGCCGAGATCTACCAGACCGTCATGCTGCGCCACGAGAACATCCTGGGATTTATCGCCGCAGACAACAAAGGTGATATTCTGTTATGAAGTTTCACAAAATCGTTAGAAATTTAATGTCATTGACAGAATTTAACTTTGAGCTCCCGAGGCTCGTCAAAGTCACGATTTAGTCCACGTGCGATTGGCCAGATTCAGCCTCGAGTGTCCTCCTGAGAGATGACCTTTGTCAGCCCGGTCGGTAGCTTTCAGGTGGTTCTTGGCCCACAATAATAATCTGCGGCTGCATCCTTTGAATCTGAATGGAGCTGTTGTAGTGGAGAAAATCTAATTTACCCTCTGCACAGTAAGATGCAGACACTGTGTGGGCAGAGAACATGTATGCCATTGTGTACTCCACCCATCTCCATGACAACAGCGGCTCCCCTTACACCTATACCGCTCTATACCCAGCACCTTCAATGAGAGAACTGGACAGATATAGACCACGCTGTTCGGGCCTTAGCGATTTGTTCTGTTTTTCAATTCAGTATAGAGTCCTTTTCTTTGCCGCCACATTATTCTAACCTGTTCCACGCCATAATTGCTGACATTTTGTCATCACGAATTGTAAGTATGCCGTGGTTTAATGAGACGGGAGTAAATGACCAAGACACATAGTTCCAGCGATTATGCAAGTGACTTTTTAACATAATGGAGGACATGGAGTACCAGCACTGAATGTGGTTTGCTCTCAGTGGCCTGTGAAAAGTCTGCTCATCTTAAAGTTTGTATCTATTGTGGGTGTGTGTGAGTGCATCCAGGCCATTTTTACAGATGGTTGTGCAGTATTAAATATTCTAGCCAATTTAGCTCACATATTTCTGAATCCTTCCTCATTCCTCACAGCAGTAAAGTTTTTCGGGCATTTAATAATCTGAATTATTTCTGAACGCTCACACAGTTGCAGGTTGGGACAATATAAAACATGTAAAAAAGTGGTTTTAATTTTGTGTGTCCAGAAGTGCGGCATTAGACATTGGTTTTCACAAATTCGAAATTAATGAATTGGTTCCTCACAATCAAAAATATACCCAAAGTGGCCCCTTGAGATGCGGGTCCTTATCATCCGTGCGCTCTGCCAAATGGTTCTAAAACAGACGTTACATATACAGCCACAGAAACAGACAATATGCACATACATAAAAACTAAAAAGCAAAGACATTGTTTGCTTATTCCCAACAAACCCATCTCAAACCCTCGTGCCTTTCCGCTCCTACTCTAACTTTGGGTAGTTATTAGGTTATTAGTTAGGCAAAACATGTAGGCAATCATTTCCCCATTCAGACTAAAAACATATTTACAAATCTTTTAAGAGGAGAATCTGAAGCTATTCCTCACAACAGTCAAGAGCAGCTCAGAGCAGCAGTGTTTAAAAATGAGAGAACTCTTTGATGTTTAATTAATGACCAGTTATGCTGCAAGTGAGTTGTGAAAAGCCACTTCAGTTATAAATGTGGATTATATTGTGATGTTCACTTCGATCAGCAGCCACTCCACCGCACTGGACACGCCGCTGAGGGAGGAAGCCGACTCTCAATCAATGTATTTTTGTATTGCCCTAAATCACAACAGTAGTTTTCTTGGAGGCCTTTGTAAAGTTGTTGATTCGCCAACACAGATCAGAGAATCAAACTGTTCAAATACAGGAAATGCAATGATTAAAACACGTACAGCCGTTGGTCCATAAGGGGCAGAGACCAATGTCAGTAAATGTTGTTGAATGTTGAGTGTCTTCATCACCACTGTCTTCAGACCCTCCTGATTTGGCAACGAAAAACTCAAAAACTCCAGAATCTCTCCCGTTATGAGACAATTTGGTCGTGGCATTCATATTTTGAACACAACGGAGCCATGAATGTGAATTGAGCACCTCGTTTCACCGTTCATAAGCCTAAGTGTAATGTATTCATGATTCGTATTATTAAATGTTATCACTGACACAAGGTTCAGATACAAAATATAATTGTATATATTTTCACGCAGACAACTGAACCAGTGACGTCACAGTTCAGACTAATAGAGCGTATTCTGTATTTTTGTTGATGTGTATTGTTTTTCTTTGTCATCCTGGTCTGTTAAAGGCACTTTCCAAATGATCTTAACTTTCTTCCGTGTGACTGTGCAGATAACGGCACGTGGACTCAGCTGTGGCTGGTGTCGGACTACCACGAGCACGGCTCCCTGTTCGACTACCTGAACCGCTACACCGTCACCGTGGAGGGAATGATCAAACTGTCCCTGTCCACCGCCAGCGGCCTGGCCCACCTGCACATGGAGATCGTGGGCACGCAAGGTGAGGTTAGGGCACCCCCACGACAGAGAAGAAGCCTGTCTCACATTTTCAGAAAGACTGTTTTGGATTTTTCAGCTATTAGCGGAATTTAGAGGAACTACGACTGGGTTTTTACCTTTAAATTATTCATTTTTTATTTTTATCATTGGTTCTTTTTATTTTACTGTTTTGTTTACTATAATTTCCGGACTAAAAGCTGCTTCTTTTTTCCAGTTATCTTTTATACCAACCCTTAAATCATATTGTGTCCAGCTCAAACATCTGTTGTAATGTAGCAAATCTCTCTGCTACATTACAACATGAAAACCTGCATCTCGTTTTAAAGTGCAGCTTATAGTCCAGAAAGTACGGTAAATCTACAATATACGCTTTATATACAATGTGGACAACATTGTTTTTTTAATTTCAAATGTAGGTTCTGGGGCTTATGTACAGGTGCGCCTTATAGTCCAGAAAGTACGGTATATATGTATTTACTGTGATGATGAAAAATGTGGTTGTCTGTGTTCTAGTTTATCCAATCTTCAAAACAATACATTCATCAATTTGAATAATCTCCTCACGACTCTCTTCTCATCTGTCGGTGAGAACGCTCGGATGTGACTGTTGTGTCCTTATGTCCAGGTAAACCCGCCATCGCACACAGAGACCTGAAGTCCAAGAACATCCTGGTGAAGAAGAACGGCACGTGTTGCATCGCTGACCTGGGGCTGGCCGTTCGCCACGACTCCGCCACAGACACCATTGACATCGCCCCCAACCACCGGGTCGGAACCAAGAGGTAAGCTGGGATCTGGGGGCTCCACGCCGTGTGCCGGTCTCACACTCAAGCAAGACACTCACTATCAACACTTACTGCTCCTTCGATTCTTGGCCTGGACCAGAATGGGGTCTGGTTCGCATCTCGTTCATCTTAGTTATTGTTCTTTTATCTTGTGTTTGGTGCTCCTCATGTCTACTGTTCTGGAACCAATGTGGGAACACTGAAATTTGCAGCGTCGGCTCTATAGGTCTCAACTAGCGCAGGACCCCAACAGTTGATGATTCAGATTCAGTTTATTTGCAGTAAAACTTCATTGGACTCAGACTTGGTTCCAGATTTATGCCTGGTTTTTCAAATATGGCAAATTACAATGTTTTCTTACTGAAGATTTCTTGTGCTTTAAACATGTATACAGACTTTCAATTAGTTCCAATTCACATTCTTTTTTTGTTCTTTCTAGTTGTTGTTTAGAGCGACATTACAATTGACCATAAATAAAATCTTAAGCTATTCATGTATGTATGAGATTGAGCTTTAGTTATGTTTCCCCAGCAGAATGACGGTAAGTTGCTGTTACTCTAGTCTCGCTCGCACACGGTCCAGGTCTTGGCTCGCCGCTCGGTGTGGTCACGTCCGGCCGCTCTCTCAGATCTGATAGAGCGGGTGTGAGGAAGTCGCTCTCTGTCTGATCAGGCCTGACCTTGGCTAATGCTGCTTCTGTGATACAGCCTGATCCCAGATTATCAAAGCACTTATCAACAGCAAAGATCACCTCTGTTACATTGCTACTACCACACCTTCAGCTGACATCACACATGGGCCGCAGATAAAATACTCTGGGTCAGTTTGAGGCGGGTCGGTACAGGGGAAAGGAAGTTGCTTAGGAGACTGTAGAGACTGATTAAAGTCGGCTGTCTTGATTGGAATGTTCAAGCTTTCAGTCAAAATTAAGTTAGTATGACATATTTTGACATAGTTGAGAATCCAAAAAATAGCCAATCAAGAAAAAATAATTGAAAATCGGACGACAATCTAGCACTGGTTTAACTGGTTTAACTCGGGGGTGAAATGGCAGCATAAAGGTAAAAATCTAAATGACAAACCAACACAGCTCTCCAGAACATTATAGTTTGACTCTTTATTTGATGCTGATCTGTTTTGTAGGCTCATGTACACTTGTTATCCTCCTTGCGAATTTGAAAATATTTTTTTGTTTAATCACAGTTGAAAATATACCCAATGAAATAAAACCGCAAAATGTAACGAACCAATGATGATGATACGAAAATTAAATAAAAGGTAAAACCCATAGACTGTAAATATCAACGGACGTAGTCACGCCTATCTCCGCCGTTGTAGCTAATGTGCCACAAATTCCGCGGTCTACGGGCAGTTTCAAAATCGCCGCGGGGGCTTGAAAATGTGAAAAAACACATCTGCGCATGCGTCAGCTGCACGAGCCCCATTCATTTGAACGAGAGACTTCAAAAATTCACAGCGACTAAACTAGAGTGGTCCAAAACACTCCCCTCAGCATTGACACACATGTGGAACAGAGCTTTGGGCCAAGACGTTTTTGAAAGGTCAGCTAATGCTATATGTTAGCATTGAATAATTCTCATTCTGGGCCCACCCCCATCAGCCCGGGGTGGTATTGCAAGCATGTCAGCGCACGTCATTTTGGTAAAAACCCGGTTGTGGCTCCTCCAAATATATGGCTAACAATATCAGGAAAAAACAAGCAAGAAATGGACGTGAAATATTATTGCGATAATTTCTCCTCTCGGACGAAAAACTAGGGCACGGTTTGGACTCGCACAGATCCGAATCCGAGGTGTCTGCCCTCAGCCCGGTCTCCATCCAGTCTCCTCCTCATCTGTCGCTCGATGCTGAAACTGGCAGGAGATCGGGCATTTCCTCTTTTTTTCTCTCAGCACGTCCCTCCTCTAAACCGCTCCACTGCTGCTGTAAATAAGAGAGATGGTGTCATTACCGTGTCAGCCACTCGCTCCGGCTCAGTCTCCGATCCAGGGTTAGAGAAAGTAATTCCACACCTCTCATCAAGTGTTTTTGCCTCTATCCTGCCTTTTAAATGCATCTGCCTCATGTCTGATTAAGTGCCAGGTCTGCTGAGATTCACACCCGGGATGTGTTTGCTGGTTTGGAGCAGAGTAAATGTATGCTTTTGTAGAATTATTCTTTTTTTGGTCCATGAAATTCCTTTTTTAATGAATGCAAGATTGATTTACAGATTCAGATCCTGGAAAAAAAATCACTCTGTCTTATTATTATTATTATTTTTTTATTTAGTCTTTATTGGAAGTGACAATGTACAGAGACATTAAGCTCAAAGACAGATTATAACTAAACAGCAAGTTTCCATCTGCAGTCCCTGGTTACAAAAATGCCATCTCAGTGAATACATGCATTTAAAGCATAACTCAATTTCAATTCAATTTGTTTTTGTATATCCCTAAATAACAACAATTATCACAATACAATCTTAATAGGTATCTTGGAGAACTCAGATAATCCAACAGCTCAAACACGAGAAATGCAATGATAAAGAAAAAATAGAGCCATTGGTCCATACGGGGCAGATGACAAATGTTCATAGATGTCGAGGGCCCTGGATCCTCCTGCAATGGCAAGGAAAAAACTCTAAAAACCAAGCCATAGGCCACATAACTCGCAGATCTATTCTCCATTGTCACCAAAAAGCCAGAAAGCAGTCAGGCAGGTCACATTTCAGAGGTCACATCTTCGGCTCAACTGAAGAATGGTTGGGGGTAGTTTCTTGCTTTAACCTGGTGAAGCTTTTGTCCTTTGCGGCAAGAAGGGCGTGGGTTCGATTCCACCTCCAGGCCTATATGTATAAATATTTGTATTATCGAAAGAAATGATCAGTGCGTTTCTATTATTGTTTTGCGTCCCTACTATATGCAGTAGTAGTAGTAGTAGCTTATTTTCTTCGGCCAATTTGTACACCAGATCTCAGGTCACACGGTTTCAGAGATCACATATACTTTTTACATCAAAATGTGTCCATTAAGGACCTTGTGCTTTGGGGGTTTAGGCTGAAGTCGAAACTTATTCTGCCTAACTCCTATTGCAATGTGACAATTCGTCCAAAGATGACAAATTATACAGTTTCTCATACACCAACGATGGTAACATGTAGCACAAAACTTAAACTTCTATAAATCAAAATTATGCTATTCATGATCAGATTTAAGACAAAAGGGATTCAATTCAATGTAATACATTTGATTATAGCCCTAAGTAACGACAGGAGTTGTCTCGGGCGACTGTTGAATTTGCCAACACAGATCAGAGAATCAAACACAAGAAATGCTATGATAAAAAACACATAGAGCCATTTATCCATAAGGGAGAGATGACCAATGTCCTTAAATGTCTTTGAATGTCAATAAATAATGCTCCTTCTGTAACATTTTTTACCGAGTGAGTCGAACGCTGGAAACACTGGAGGTCACGTCTCTTTGGTGTAAGGCGCATTGTTTGAGGCTGTGTTTGTGCAGCGTGACCCTGAGGATTGTCATTGAGCGCCAACGTCCTTGTGCGCTTGTGTTGCGTAGTCACAGGTGTCATGTGAGACGGTGGCTTTATTCTGCTTAAGTGCTCCTGTCTGCAGATCACTGTACACACTCGGAGCCTCTTCTCCCTTTCACTTCCCCTTTTGTGAGGCGGACGGGGGGGAGACGGGGGGGAGACGTGTGTGCCTGGGGCTGAGGAAGCTCCTGTCTCCTTGTGCTGAGCTATGAAACATTCAGGAAGTGTGCACTGCCAATAAAGCACTTAAATGTGGCTCCGTGGGCCTGTTTCACCACTCCCTGATCACAGAAGGAAAGGAAGCACAGAATCAACAGGTTTTGGTGAATGCGGCATCAATGAGGATCAAACGCAAGGCAAGGAAACGAAAAAAATGCTAGAAATGTATTTTAAAAAGCATATATTTGTATTCTGTTCAATCCAATTCAATTCAATCTATTCTTGTATAGCCCCAAATAACAACAGTAGTTTTCTCAGAGGCCTTTACCAAACTGAATTGAACAACACTGATCAGAAGAAATGCAATGATAAAAAACACAGTCATTGGTCCATAAGGGGAAGTGAACAATGTCCATAAATGTCTAAAAATGTCATTAAGTGTTGAGTGTCCTGGATCCTTTTGATTGATTGATCTTATTTTTTTATCCATTTGAGCAGAAATTTGTCATTCAGAAGTCTTGACAATATTTACTTTCCTTAGTTTACATGACCTTTTGTCCATGTCGCCTTCTGTGCTTACGGTACAAACTTACACATGCAAACGTATGAACATAAATATACAAACAAGCAACGATATTTGCCCTAGTTTCACCAGGTGTGGTATAATTACAAGATCAATATGTATCTACAAATGCATTTCTATTTACAATTTGTCAGCTCGAAATGGAAAAAAAAAAAAAAAACTTGTACTTGACTCCCACCCCATAAACATGATTCAACTACATGCATACATACTTGTCGTCATTACCGCTGTCCTCAGACGGTCCTGCATCTTCTGTCAATCAACCTTCATTTGTCGAGCGCTTTCCCTGCACAAGGTACCACAAAGTGCTTCGTCGCTTCAACAATAATAAATCAATACAACGTTGTACATTTCCAGATCTACTAAACTGCTCTGGTCTCGAGGGCGATGCAGTGATTTGGATAATGACTCAAATGCCGTTTCCTGTTTCGTCCAAGTATAATTTTTCCAGTAATTGTTACTTTGTCATCGTCCGCCTTAAACAAGAGACAGAGGAGAAAAAAGACAAGGCAAGTTTATTTGTATTGTCAATAAATATTACAAAACCAAGAAAAACTCACACAAGACATTAATATATGAAAGAGTAAAGATACAATGATTCAGTTGTTTGCACAGATAAAAAGAACTGTTTGGAATCTGGTTTAGTTGAAGCCTGTCTCATATTCTCAGGAAGACCATTCCAGATTTTTGCGGCATGAATCTGAAACTCTCACTAACAAACAATGATAAACTGCCTTTTCTTAAACCTCATTTTGTAATCTGGATCAGCAAAAATATTTTATTCCATGATTACTGTCTCCCCTTTGTATGTTAAAAAACTGACTCAGAAATATGTCTAGAATTTTTTTGTTGAATCCTTAATACATATAGTTGAAACAAAAAAGCCAAAACCGCCACAAGATCAAACCTGCGACCAGAGCAGGCGTCCTCTCAGTGTTGCGTAAGAATAGCAAAAGGCTACAATTGAATTGCCTCATTAAACTGGAACCAATGTTATAACCTCCGGGGGAAGAAACAAGTGAATAAATTCTTAATGGAGTGTTTTATCTCCACATTTAGCATATGAAGTAGTAAAGGAGAAAGCAGTTTGATTACTCGCTCGTATGCAAACGATCTGCCCTGAATTATCCTGTGTTTGCTCTCCGCGCCCTCGCACTGTAGGAGCAGTCGTCTGATTAGATTTCCTCTCCACGCGTCGAGTGGGAGTCTGCGATTGTGGCCTCAGCGTGCTCCCGTCCACTTGAATCACATTTCTCAATGAATTGAATCGACACTGGTGTGTGGTTTACCAGCGTGAGCAGCAGGGGCAGAGTTTCATTAGGACCATTGAGACGGATGCTGGCTGTGGTTTGGAGGTCTGTGGGTGTGACTCGAGGGGCCACCTGACGGGTTTATCCATCCTTGTTCAGGAAGTCAAAATGCAGCAGCTCGAGTCCTGACTAGAACCAGGAAGTACGACCATATTAGTCCGGTCCTCAGGTCTCTGCACTGGCTTCCTGTGGCTCAGAGAATAGACTTTAATACAGCTCTCTCCATGGCCTCGCACCAAAATATATTAGTGACATGTTAGTCCCATATGAACCAGCCCGGACTCTGAGGAGCACAGGGACTGGACTCCTGTTAGTGCCCAGAGTCAGAACTAAACATGGGGAGGCTGCTTTCAGATTCATGCTGCTAAAATGTGGAACAATCTTCCTGAAGATGTGAGACAGGCCTCCTCTCTGACAATGTTTAAAACCAGGTTAAAGACAGTTCTGTTTAGCTGTGCATACAACTGAGGGATTTTATATTTTTATCTTTCTTTTTAATGTTCTGTGATTACTTGCCTAGCCTTGCCTTGAAGTATGTGATTGGGGTTCTGTTGCGCAGTAATGTGTAAACAGACTTCAGGAGATGGAGATGCACCGATGATGTAGCCAAAGCACACAGTCACAGAACCAAAAGGAGAGCTCTAAATGGAGAAAGAGAGGCCGGAGAGAGAGGGGCCAGAGAGAGAGGGGCCAGAGAGAGAGGGGCCAGAGAGAGAGGGGCCAGAGAGAGAGGGGCCAGAGAGAGAGGGGCCAGAGAGAGAGAGGCCAGAGAGAGAGAGAGGCCAGAGAGAGAGGCCAGAGAGAGAGAGAGGCCAGAGAGAGAGAGAGGCCAGAGAGAGAGAGAGGCCAGAGAGAGAGAGAGGCCAGAGAGAGAGAGGGGCCAGAGAGAGAGAGAGGCCAGAGAGAGAGAGAGGCCAGAGAGAGAGAGAGGCCAGAGAGAGAGAGAGGCCAGAGAGAGAGAGGCCAGAGAGAGAGAGAGGCCAGAGAGAGAGAGAGGCCAGAGAGAGAGAGGCCAGAGAGAGAGAGGCCAGAGAGAGAGAGAGGCCAGAGAGAGAGAGGCCAGAGAGAGAGAGAGAGGCCAGAGAGAGAGAGGCCAGAGAGAGAGAGAAGCCAGAGAGAGAGAGGCCAGAGAGAGAGAGGCCAGAGAGAGAGAGGCCAGAGAGAGAGAGGCCAGAGAGAGAGAGGCCAGAGAGAGAGAGGCCAGAGAGAGAGAGGCCAGAGAGAGAGAGGCCAGAGAGAGAGGGGCCAGAGAGAGAGGGGCCAGAGAGAGAGAGAGGCCAGAGAGAGAGAGAGGCCAGAGAGAGAGAGAGTCCAGAGAGAGAGAGAGACCAGAGAGAGAGAGGCCAGAGAGAGAGAGGCCAGAGAGAGAGAGGCCAGAGAGAGAGAGAGAGGCCAGAGAGAGAGAGAGAGGCCAGAGAGAGAGAGAGGCCAGAAAGAGAGAGAGGCCAGAGAGAGAGAGGCCAGAGAGAGAGAGGCCAGAGAGAGAGAGGCCAGAGAGAGAGAGGCCAGAGAGAGAGAGGCCAGAGAGAGAGAGGCCAGAGAGAGAGAGGCCAGAGAGAGAGAGGCCAGAGAGAGAGAGGCCAGAGAGAGAGAGGCCAGAGAGAGAGGGGCCAGAGAGAGAGGGGCCAGAGAGAGAGGGGCCAGAGAGAGAGAGAGGCCAGAGAGAGAGAGAGACCAGAGAGAGAGAGAGGCCAGAGAGAGAGAGGCCAGAGAGAGAGAGGCCAGGAGAGAGAGAGAGGCCAGAGAGAGAGGCCAGAGAGAGAGAGAGGCCAGAAAGAGAGAGAGGCCAGAAAGAGAGAGAGGCCAGAAAGAGAGAGGCCAGAGAGAGAGAGGCCAGAGAGAGAGAGAGGCCAGAGAGAGAGAGAGAGGCCAGAGAGACAGAGAGAGGCCAGAGAGAGAGAGAGGCCAGAGAGAGAGAGAGAGAGGCCAGAGAGAGAGAGAGAGGCCAGAGAGAGAGAGAGAGGCCAGAGAGAGAGAGAGAGGCCAGAGAGAGAGAGAGAGAGGCCAGAGAGAGAGAGAGAGAGGCCAGAGAGAGAGAGAGAGAGAGAGAGAGGCCAGAGAGAGAGAGGCCAGAGAGAGAGAGAGAGAGGCCAGAGAGAGAGAGAGAGAGGCCAGAGAGAGAGAGAGAGAGGCCAGAGAGAGAGAGGCCAGAAAGAGAGAGGCCGGAGAGAGGGAGATGCTCCGCTCTGAAAGAGGATGTTCCAGCTTATTCCCCCTGGCAGAAGAGATATCGTTCGGTGAGATGCAGGACATCTTAGAATGCTAACAGCTTTCACAGTGACAATTATTTCCTGTACTTTTTCAGCTTGTGTTATTTATGTAGCTGTCTGGTGCACACTGGGGTACTTTTATTCCAGTGTGTTGTTACTGCTAATGGCAAATAAAGTGAATCTTAATCTGTAATAGCATTAGCCGTTGTTGTTGTGGTGATTAGGAGGCGGGTGTTGATGCAGTATTTTTGCGTTTAGGCCTGAATTTGACTCGGTGTGGACAGGACCGTAGTATTATTCCCTACTGGCCTCTCCACAGATCTGAACCTGAGCCGGTGCAGATGCTGTAACATGCTTGTCTCTGTGACGGATGAGCTTATTGCCATATCGTGAAGCATTCCAGCTACCGCTACATTCAGAAAAAAATTGTGAACATTTTGTTTTTAGAACGTGAACATATTCTCTCCACGTCCCTCTGGGGTGTAAAGCAGAATGCTAAACAAATAACAATGCAGCTCGGCAATGATTTCACTGTGTTCCCATTAAGTATTCTATCATCATTTATCCACTTGTGCGCTGCAGGCTCCAGCTGAACCACCAAAAGTGCATTTAGATGTGGACAGATGGAGCTGATGAACAGGGGGTGCTGACATCAATTAACTAATGACCAGCGCTGTTGTCAGGAGGTCCTCACAATACAAGGACTTCCAGTTGTATCACTAGTGTCCAGGATAAGAGCAGAATACATGTTTTTTTTTTTTTTTTTAGATCTGTATGTATTTGAAAGCGGCATCATTGTGTATTATAGTGTAGACACTGCTGCGAATACACCGGAAGTAGCTCAAGGATAGTTTTCAGCAGGAGTGCTTGGTATGGTGTGATTTTTGATTTTACAGAGACAATGTACAATAAACATTAGCCAAGAGGAGAGATGCATTGTACCAGGTTGTAGCAGCAGTGCTAATTTACACTTGTTTACGCTGTTGAGATATAGTATGTAGTAGTAGTAATAGTAGTTATAGCTCATTTTAAAGCTTAAAAAAAGCTTGTCGGGGTTGTCGACCCCTGGACAAGTCTGGTTTACTAAAGTCACCTGCTCTCCCTGGTTTAGTGGTAGTGGAAACATAGGCGGACACGGGGAGAATATGCAATCTCCACGTGGGAAGGAGAATCCAGGACCTTTAGCACCAAGAGCTCAAGCCGCTGCTGCACAAATAGTTTCTGCATGTATCTGCTTGACCTTCTACACTTAAAAGGAAGACACTAGAACTGATATTGTGTTTTATCATGGTCAATACTTCCTGTTTGCAAAGGCCTGGATTGGGACCAGCGTGTGTGACCCTCTCCTGTCTCTGTGTTTCAGGTACATGGCTCCGGAGGTTCTGGACGACTCTATAAACATGAAACACTTTGAGTCATTCAAACGCGCAGACATTTACGCCATGGGGCTGGTGTTCTGGGAAATCGCCAGTCGCTGCTCGATGGGAGGTAATCTCATGTTTTATATTTATTTATGGTCACACAGTTTCGTCCTCACTAGTTAACCGCTTATTAAGTGCTAATTTGTGTATAATGTATGGTTAATTAGCTCTTAATTGGTACTTATTAGTAAGTAGTAAGTAAGTTATTATTTATATACCGCCTTTTCACTGCAGATCTGAGTCTCAAAGCGGTTTACAATTGTTAATTTTGGGCATTTGTCTCTCACTCCACACAGAGATGGGAGCAGGGTCGCCAGTACAGGAAGCGCATGCTAGAACTATTGGACATATTTTTAGTGGTAGGGGAAACCGGAGTACCCGGAGGAAACCTACGCAGACACGGGGAGAACATGCAAACTCCACTCAGAAAGGCCCTGGTCCGGCCGGGATTCGAACCCAGGACCTTCTTGCTGAGAGGCGAGAGTGCTATCCACTCAGCCACCGTGCCGCCCTTACTTATTAAGCATTTGTTTGTCTTTATTCCACATGGCTTGGGGCAATGACTGGGGTTAGGGCTAGGACTAGGGCTCGGCCTAAGGGTAGGGTTAAGACTAGGATTAAGGTTATGGTTGGGACTAGGGTTAGGGCTAAGGGTGGGACTAGGGCTAGGGTACACTGATTAGCATTTAATTAGCTGTTAATAAGCAAGGGCTAATCTAAAGTGTTATCAATTTTTGTTGTTTTTGAACTCATAATAAAAATGGGTGGAACGTATTGATCTATTGTAATAACTGAATGCCACCTGTGGTCTGACCTCTGCAGGTATACACGAAGACTACCAGCTGCCCTACTACGACCTGGTGCAGTCCGACCCCTCTGTGGAGGAGATGAGGAAGGTTGTGTGCGAGCAGAAACTTCGGCCCAACATTCCAAACCGCTGGCAAAGCTGCGAGGTAAGTCCACTTCTCCTGAGTAGTCCCACATGATCGGTGTTTGTGGAGTCTAAACTTAAGACTCGAAAGATATGATTTGATTTAGCCACAGAAAAACCGGGGTTCTCGATCACAAAAACAGCAATGGAGAAATGACACATGATTATTACACTGAAAAAGAAGGGACCTGGCAAACAGTATCTCACATGGTTGTTTTTCCACATCTACCAAATCAAACATGTTTATTTAAAAGCCTCTACAACAGTTCTACAGAACAACATAACAGAATAACACACACACACACACACTATTTTTTGTTCTTACTACTTTGCTACTTCTATACCAAACCATTTTAAAACGCAATCATGTTTTCCAAAATAGCAGCTCCTGAGACACATATTGATTTGAAAGTACTTCTTTAAAAAACACGCACACCTTTTTACATTCCTCCATCGCCTGTAAATACCACAAGCCTCTCTATCCTGGAATAAGTTTAGTGCAGTGAGTGACAGAGATTTTCCAGACGCCATGAACATTATCGGAGCCGTTTTTGAAGTTTACTCCTGCGGTGTTTTTGTTTCTTGTCAATCGATCCGTCCACATTCACGCTACATCAAGGTCTGCATAATCCCGACTGTGGATGAAGTTTGTGCCGTGGACATGGCAGTCTGCAGCCGCCTCTTAGGCTGTCTCCTCAGACTGTTTGAGCATCAGCCAGGCCTTCCCACACACTCGCAGCGCTTTCTCTGACCCCAGGGCTCTGAACCAGACATGAATTCACATACTCCACACTACACCCACCATTACTTTGAATCTTGTCTGATCTTCCAGAAATATCCCTCCTTCCTTCCCTCCCCCTGTATTTTTCTCTTCTTCCCTTAATAACTAATCGGATTGTCAGGAATCCAGTTTAATTTATCGTAAACACTATCAGAATTTGATCCCATTGTTGCCAAACGTTGTGAGGGAGTTGGCCGCGCTCCAGCTAATGAATGAGGCAGAGGAATGCGTGGATGGGAGCGTCGGCATAAACGCTGAGTCATCCCCGACCACATGCTGTTTACAACCACCAAAGACGTGCCAACCGGAGCAGCCAAACAAACACGTCCCGTCACCACTTTTGTCTGGGGCGCCTTGTCACAGTCTCCCGCTTTCAAACGCAGAGAATATTATGCAATACTATTTAGGTCGATTCATACGGGGCTGTGTTTTTGTCACAATTTTGGGATGATGTGAAAATGATTGCGGGTTTGTGGATTGAATGTCATCAGGTTCGGTCAAAAACGGGTCTATTAAGCCTCATTCATTGAAACCAAGGCAACGTCTTTGGTCTGCTGTAGCTGTTTATGACAAATGTGGGTCAAATCTATAAGATAAACTTTTATTTGTCCCACAGTGGCCAACTGTTAAATTAATTTCACGGTGTTTGTGTGTAGCCCTAATTCACAACAGCAGTTTCGTCGGAGGACTTTACACAGGAACTGCAATAATAACAAACAAATAGGAACCATTGGTCCAAAGAGACTTTAGACCTTTCTGCAGACCCCTCTAACAAGTCCATTATCAAATACTTGTTGATAACGGCTAGAGTTTGAATTTTGAACATTTAACACATTGATTTACGATGATATAAAAAATAAATCGGTCACTTGCTGTATCTTTTACAGTCTAGCATCATCTGATCATTTGTGCCAAAATACCTGCCCGATGCTGAATCAGCAACTAAAGCACATATAACATATTTTCCAACTAACAGAACGCACCGCAACCACCAGCGCCACAGCCACCAGCGCCACAGCCACCAGCGCCACAGCCACCAGCGCCACAGCCACCAGCGCCACAGCCACCAGCGCCACAACCACCAGCGCCACAGCCACCAGCGCCACAGCCACCAGCGCCACAAGCACCACAGTTACTTGAAAGCTTGTATGCTGTGACCTAAAGTGCTGCTGCATTGTTTTACTAGTTGGTTGAGCATTGGCCTTAGAGCCAGAAGGTTGTGGGTTCGAGCCCACCTTTACGACTCCCACTCATGACTGCTGTCGCTGTGTCCCTGGGCAAGACACTTAACCCCACTTTGCCTGAAGCCCCTGCTGAATAACCAAGGCCCCTGTGGACTCACCACCTGCAGGAGGATCAGTGAGGGGCTGGTGCTATGTGTACTGGGTGTAGCTCTGACTGCCACCCCCCCGACCCAGAAATGGATTAAGGGGAAGAAAATGGATGGATGTTTTTGTGGATGGATGGATGTGTTTCTGCTGCTACTGGACACCTGAATTTCACCTGCGGGAAATCCATTATCTATCTATCTGATGTATCTATCTGAATGAGATGCAAGAACTACTCAAACAAACGGCAACTTTGAGTGGGGAGAAAAACTATTCTTCAGCCTTGCATAATACATCACCTCTGAGCCAAACGCACATCCCAATTCGGGCTTTGTAAAGGAAACGTCTTGTGTGTTTTAAATGGTGTAAAAGCTGCTCACTCCACCTCGTTCCGAAAGGCATTCCCTGAGCTCCTTCTCCAGAGTCCATCCAGGCCGGCTTCAGAGAGACCGGAGAGTGCGGTCTATCTGATGAGCAGCTCTTTGTCCGAGTGATTACACACACGGCTCAACCATTACAGCCTCATTAAAGTTTCAAGCGAGCACACAGCAGAGCCCAACAGGTACTTAATATTTTATCAAGGCAGATATGTTCCATAATCGGATGGCTTCAGAGGAGGCATCTATTACAAAGACTATCCAAATGATCATTTAATTATGCTATCTGCCCAACTGTTCTGCCAGCTGTTTTTACAAGGCTTATGCTGTTAGTGTGAAATGGATGCATGCTGACAGCCTCCAGTTGTTTGCAGAAGGCTCTAACCCAGTCCCATGTCCAAACCAACCCTCTGTGTCAGGTTATGTGAACATGAAGTAGTCTCTGAGATCATACCCACAAGTTCACAGTGTCGTTCAGCAAAGTGATCCCTCGCTGTATCACAGTTCACCTTTCGCGGCCTCGCTGTTTTGCCGGTTTGTGTGCAATTTTGCATGCTTTTTTTACAGCACGCTTCTCGTTCGCGAACAACATCACATACAACATTATATAACTACGAGTATAACATGACAGTTACCTTTATTTAAAGTTAAAAGAGAAAGATTGAGGCTTGTGTGCGTCACGGTAAAGAAGTCATAGAATTCCTTCTCTCTCTCTGGTCTCTCTCTGGTCTCTCTCATTCTACAGTGCATGCACAGCTTTTGACAGCTGCAGCAGCGCTCAGACCTAAAACCAACAGGTTTAATATCTCTGGTCGCTCTTAGTCATGAGTTCAGCTGGTTATTCTTTTTGTGTCTGAACTGTTGATTCTCTGATCTGTCTTGGTGATTTCAATAGCTTTTGTGAAGTAACTGAGATGATGATGTTGTGATTTAGGGCTATACAAGAATAAATTGTATTGTATTGTTTCAATACAATTACAATACTATTGTTAGTGTTTGAGGGTTTTACAGCCTTAAAACACACATCTGCTACTTATTGCTGGTTGTTTTTAGAATATAACTGCTGCGATAAACGGGGGACCTAGTTGTAAAGCTCTGGACCCCTTTTTTGTACGTGCTTACACTTATTTTTGAATGTGTCACAAAATTCCATTAATGGTTCTAATGTAGCTGATGAGATGGTCATTTGTCACTAGCTCCGTCATAGCTAATTTTAAGGCTCAAAACAGCCTCTGGACAAGCCTGGTTAACTGTAGTGGCCTCTTACTAAAAAGGTGTCTCTGACCTGAGTGTTGTGTGTGTTTGCAGGCCCTGCGGGTAATGGCCAAGATCATGAGGGAGTGCTGGTATGCTAACGGCGCGGCTCGCCTCACAGCTCTGCGCATCAAGAAGACCCTGTCCCAGCTCAGCCAACAGGAGGGCATCAAGATGTAGTGTCCGGCCCCCTCCACTGGCCAACATCAGCATTACTCTGTCATCGGAGCGTGACGAATGTGACGGCATCTTTGTCAATAACATGAAGGGAACACAGGGCATTCATATCTACCCTCATATCTGCATTTGTTATCTCAGCTCCAAGGGGCCTCCAGAGACCCCTGCAGGCCTGGAGCTGCCACCATGTTCATACGCAGGCCACTCTCCAGTAGGGCTTCACGTGTGTTAGTACCACTGCAGAGAAGCAGTAGAGGGCAACAGTATCGTGAAGTTATTTGTTTAGGAGTTAGAAACCGTGAGTGAAATATGGGACTGAGAACAGCTGGTCTTAAAGGGTTTGAAAAGTCCAAACCCTAAAACAACTATGGTTAAGTATTTAACAAGCCAGGTATGAGATGTATGCCCAATGAAGAAACAGTACTTTATTTAGATTATTTCTTTATACAGTATATTATATTCTAAACATTTAAGATAATTCATGAAGAATAATAGTTCTGTTTATTTTTTATTATGTAATTATAATGATTTTATTTTCCAAATTGTACATAGCTGTAAAGTTTGTGTAGACTGGTCTCACAAAGTGTGTGTGTGCCCCCTCCTGGAGAGTGTCCTCCGTGGACCGGCCCTCAGGTATCAGTCCACCGCTGGACCCTCTTCATCTGTTAGTGTCTCCCATGGCGACGGCTCACTCATATTTATTCTCTTGGTCGTTGCGGAGGCGGGGATCACTCTGCAAAGCCACCTGGACACGATGACCTCATTCATGCTGCCACATATGCAACAGCACTAGACAGTGTTCTTTTTTATCTCTGCGTTACATACCATGCTCAGCTATACCAGAAAGTGCCAGTGCTTTACTGTCCTCTGGCCCGGGCTCATTCTATGCACCGATCAGCAGCAGCCCGTGGCACCTGGTGCCATCTGGACCCACCTCACACCGGACCACCTCAGTCTCACCGGACAGCGCCCAGGCATGTGGCGGCCACACTACAGACAGAAAGATGCGACGTGATGTTGCCCCTACATGTTTTGGGTTCAGTTCAGTGTTTTGGCCGCTCTCGTGGCTTTAGGATAATCACTCGACAACGGCATGCATTCATTAAATATAGCAAACGGAGATTTACTAAGCCATAGGTTTTCCAGGTGTGTTTCATTTTCTTTTTACCGCTTTTTTCTACTAGAATGTACATTTATGAACACAAAAAATGAAATTGGACTTTCATTTCAGCTTAGCAAGCCTTAAGGGACCAACACATGAGTCTTGATTTTCTTTTATATGAAAAAAATGAGTATTAATATTATATATTGTTGATTTTTTTATTATGATCATGTTAAAAGATGAACATGTATGTAGCATCTGTTAAGTTTGTCTTAGTTGTTGTTGCTGTCAATGTTGCCACACGTCTAATCCTAGCTCAGAGCCAGCAGTGTCAAGCCCCTTCACACTCGGCGACATCTGGAGAATATCTGCTCAGCAATAAGTGCCCTTGACCCTTGACCCCAGGCGGGTGGGCGGGCGGGCGAGCTGTGTGGCAGTGTGCCCCCGTCTCATCCAGACGCATCAGTGTGTGTGTGTGTGTGCTGCTGCCCTTGTGCCATGTCTCCTCGCCGCTCCTCACTCCACTGCCGCAGACCCCGGCAGTGCCCACTCTGTGCCCACTCTGTGCCCACTCTGTGCCAATCCATCAGGACGCCTCGCCAGGCTGTCCGCAGGGAACGCAAGACAAGCAGTTATTTTTCACCGAGTGGATCTTTCAATTTAAAAAGTGCTAGTTTTGTACAAAAAAAGGATTATCTTGTGTGTAGCAACAGGTTGTGTGTTATTCTGTCTATTTGAACAGTCAGACTGAAAGCCAAACGTTCAGGTCTGCACTCAAAAGTCACATTCCGCAAGTGTCGCGCCTCATCTCTCACCGCGGAGTTGAAACACCGTCTGAGGAGGGTCCTCTGTCGGAACTGTTTCACGGTCGGGATCAAAAACGTCTTTAAACCGAAGGGCGATTAAAAAAACCTCATCTCCGTCATCTTGCCTCCTTTCCCCCAAAAATATCTGACTGAAGACCGGCTCCCTCTGGGTCAGTCCGAGCGACGAACAAGTCTTAAAATCAACTGGGACTTTGTAAACTTTGTAAATAGATTTTTTTGAAGTAAACAAAAGAATTGTGATATTTGAAGAAAGTTTCATTTGTTTTGCTGCTATAGAAAGCCTAAATGTTTTATGGACTGTGCTGATTGGTTGTTGGTCCAGGAACTCTGCCCGGGTTTGGAGCCGCGGCCGTTTGTGTTTGCACTGCGCACACGGAGCTGTACAGTGCGTTCTTTCTTCTGGCTCTTTGACGTTTTTGCGGTCCCCGTTTCTGCTTTCTGTACCCTGGTCTAGTGCAAGCGAGACACTGCATCAGATCACAGCAAAAATGATCCGTGAGCCATTAAGAATAGAAATGTGTGCGGATATCTGTGAATATTTGTACCTTCTCTGTTTTTAATGTAGCTCTATGCTCAAACACACACCTCTAAACACTATGCATCTGTAAGCAGGGTTCCTACAGGGTCTTAAAGGTGATGTCAACAACCTACATTTTAAAATCATGTATATTTCTGACCATGGGACAAGTATTTTTCAACAATAATGTATGTAAAACTGTCGCTCCCCATAACATAACTATGACAAGTAAGATTTGCTGGAGGAGAACAGTTAAACCAATCACAAGCGGCCTTCTGGCGAGGACGAGGATGGGCGGGGCTAACCAGGGTTGGCCTTCACAAAGTTTCTCTCTTCACAGTTTAAAAAGTCTTAAAAGCATAGAATATGGGAGTTAGGAAATAATACTTTTTAATAAGTCTTGAATATTCACATCTGGGTCTTAAAATGTGTGCAGTTTGTAACTTCTCTTTATCGCATTCTCTTTGAAAGTTGTATTTGTCAACCACTGTTATTTATTTTTGATGCTATAACAGTTGGCCCAACACTAGTCCTGGTCCGGATTACAACAGACACACACCACAAGCAACAATCCAAACAGAAGTGGCAAAAATCGTTTTCTCATTTGTTTACGAACGAAAGTAAATGAAAACGCTTATGATTTTCATTAAAAGTTAATCGTTCAGTCCTCGCGTTATGCATCAAAACTCTCATTACTAAAGGCTGTTATGAAAAGTTTTCTGTTGGTGTAGATTGGAAAAGGAGATTTTTTCACCTGCAAAACTCTCTTGCTGTGCCCTAAATGCAGTGTCTCGCCTCACTACAAAACGTGCATTTCTAGATGATCGAAAGTGACTTGAATTCAAGATTTTGTGACCTAAAGTATTTACTCAACGTTGATTATCAGACCATTTTCTATTTTGATTCAAAAAGACGTTTCTTGTAACTATTGAGAAATGTGTTTAAACCTGTATAGAAATGTTGGTCACCTGATCAAATTCACCACAAAACTCTGAATTCTCGTCATTTTGAGATTTTTTTTCCCTCTTTCTTCTCCCTGGTTCTTGGGCACCATCTCTTGACAATATAGTCTCTTGGTGAACCTCCTCTCTGGGTCCCTGTGCTCAGTGCGAACACAGCCTCATTCTCTGGGACTTGACCACAAACCGCTCCCCTCAGCAGCAGCAGTGGCTTCTGTCTGCGCCCGGCACCAGAACAAAGCTTCATTCTGTCTTAAAAAACAAACAAAACTAAACAAAAAAAAGCACCAGCAGCCTTTTCTTTACTGAGCCCAGAGACCACCGGCTCTCTGAACTCCCTGCCTTCTCTTGTCATTCCTCCCCTTCTCCTTTTGTGAACTCTACCGACCGGGCCCCGTGTGCCGCAGCAGCCTCTCCAGAAAGCAAGGGTACGGAGGAGTCTGATGGAGGGTCTTTGGATCGTAGCGTTTGCCAGTGTTCCTCAAACATATTCACATCTAGACATGTTGGTTCTTGCACAGAACTGAGCAAAGAACTGCGGTTGGTTGGTCACAAGCTGTAATTAACCCGGGCAGAATTAGGGCACCAAAACCAAGACATCTTTCAAGTGCTAGTCTCAGATCTTAGCTCAAATAAGGGTAAAAAAAAAATTAAAATGGTGCTCCAAATCCAAGGCCATGGTGCTCGATCAGAGAAGAGGGAGCAGCGTCTGCATTCAGAGCTGTATTGGACTGTTTTAGTGAAGACGAAGCTCTAAATTTACCAGTCAATCTACTTCCCCACCCTCACCCCTGGTCATTGGCTTTGGAGACCGAAAGGAGTAGATCGCTGTAGATGCAAGTGGTGTACATGAGTTTCCTCCCTTAGAGAAAGGGTGAGCAGCTCAGAGTAGAGCCGCTGCTACCTGACACATCAAGACGTCATCAAAAGCGCTTTACAATAGTTTTGGAGTATAGATATTTTTCCAGTCTCTCCACACGGTGATGACGGAAGTAAGACTCCGAACACATTGGCGCATAGAATCCCTGACCAAACACTATCTGTTCACTCACTCAATTACGATAATGCCTATTGTACATGTTCTTAGCAGTGGGGGAAACCGGAGCACCCGGAGGAAATCTACGCAGACACAGGGAGAACATGCAAAGTCAACACAGAATGATAAATGATGTGAAAATGATGTACTTTGCCTTTTGGCCAAATCTCCGTTTTTAAAATTCCATTAACTGCGTTCCTCTACCTTAGTATCACCAACCCAGCGTTTGAAAATCACTGGCAGACGACATCCCGACCAAACTCCTCCTCCTTCCTCTCGCCGCCGCGGCCCTTCAGCACGCCGCCACCCGCAGCAGCGCAGGCAGAGCCACCTCAGACTATGCCAGGTCTCAGCCCACTCGAGTGAATGTACGAGCCCACAGCCGCCCTCTAATATGCAAGCTCTGGACCTATCTATGCTCGCAGCCGCCCACTGTGACCTCTGAGGCGCTGCTGAAGGGCCTCGGACCAAACAGCCTGACCCCCCCCCCCCCCACCCCTTTCTCCGCGGCTACTGTTACCGGCTGCTGCGGCTGCCCGGACCCGGAAAGCTTTATATATGTATACCATCTTCGGTTGGTGCCTCGGTTCGACCCTCATGAATGACAAGACCGCATGCGATTGTGTCAACGCTTAAAAAGAAGTGCGCACGACGGCAAAACAAAAATAGCCGTAGGGGTGGGCGATGTTGACAAAAATGATGATTGTAACTTCAGTATTTTAACGACGATAATGTGATCATACGTCGTAGTGCTAATAGTCTTCTTCAGGGGTGTCAATCTGGTTCCAGGTCTTCGATCCAACCACGTAGGAGCACAGTAGACTCCACCCATTTGCTCAAGTCTCCACGTTTAGACTGGGCTCACTTTGCTGCTGCTCGGTTGGAATGAAAACCTGCTGCTACACCCGAACCATCGAGGACTGGTTTGACTCGACAGGTCTTTTTCGATAATGGCATTGAAACCAGTGGTGGAAAGTACTAGTATCTATGCGTTCAAATTTGGAAAAGGAGAATCTCTAAACCATGCGTGTCAGACTGGTTCCAGAAAAGTCCAGTGCGTATTCGTGTTTTCATTCCAACCAAGCCAGAGCACACCCGACTCTACCCATTTCCTCAAATCTCCAGGTTAAACGTGGACTCACTTGAGAAAATGGGTGGAGTCTGCTGTGCTCCTGCTTGGTTGGAATGAAAACCTTTCTGGAACCATCCCTGCTCTAAACCTTTCTGTTGTACTTAATTCAGGTCTTTTCTTCAGTTATTTCCTGCTTTGAGGCAGAAAAATGAGGCAATCAAATCCATCTATCTTCTTTCTCTGAAAACAGGTCAGCTTCGTCAGACAGACAGGTGAAATAAAGAGAAGACCACCCTGACTCGGCCAATCAGCTTTCACTCTGACGTGTCCAATAGTGACTCACAGTATCCAACAGATAAGATGGTTTTCTAAAAAGACAGAATGTTGGGCCTGATTTATTCACAGCATCAGAACAACAACTTGAGTTTCCAAGATTTTTTCTGTCGGGGAATTTTTATTTATTTATTTAAAATTATTCATTAAAAAAACAAAGTTGGCATCCCAAGCTTTAGTAGTTCCTATTGGGTCTAAAATACTTTTTTTTTACACATTGAAATGGATTCTCTGATCCCTGCGATACGTTTACTTTACTGGAGTCATTTCTCTGCTCTTTCATTTGTACAAGGCCAGTGTTCCCCAACTTTTTTGAGCCTTGGCAAAACTTTTTAATTAATTGAAATCAAGCACACAACACAAGCTTAAACGTATTCAAATGTGACAGTCATTATTAACAATATATGGCCATTATTATTAGTAATTTGTTAGACAAGTGTAGTGTCTAAAAAATTGGAAAAAGGTCTTTCAAATATTCTCACATTATTTTATTTCTACGTTCTTTTGATCGCAACAAACAACATATCAAGGCACACTAACGTACCACGGCCCACTGGTTGCATAACACTGTACTAGCGTGTGCATGTATTCTTATAACTCTGGTTAAATTAGTAACTGTAACATACCTCGGCTCTTCCATCACTGGTTTCCACCTTTTATACCGTTTTTAGTCTGGTACTTTGCTGTCCCATCTGTTTTTTTCTCTCTACTTTTTAAATCTCATTTGTCGACGCATCGCTCACTCCTCCGGGAACATAGTCATACAAAAAGAAGACTTAAAAGAGAATACCTCCTTTTTAAGACCAATGTGTTTTACCTCACTGTATATAACCGGCTTTGTTTACTTCTCGGACGATTCTTCTGGGTACTTTTTATGAGTTCGACGCTGGCCTCGTGTGGTCCCGTCTGCGCACCTGTACAGCCCTGTTCTCTCTCTCTCTCTCTCTCTCTCTCGTCTCTTTCTTGTCTCTCTCTCTCCCTCTCTGTTTTGGTTGTCTCTGTGTCTTGTTTTTCTCTTTGGTCTCTCTCTTCTCTGGTCTCTCTTACTCTGGTCTCTCTCTCTCTCCTCTGTCTCTGTTCTCTAGTCTCTCTCTTTATTGTCTATCTCCCTCTCCTGTTTTGGGTCTCTCTCTGTCTCTTTTGTCTTTCTTTTTGGTCTCTCATCCCTCTTACTCTGGTCTCTCTGTATTTTCTCTCGTCTCCCTGTCCTGTTTTGTCTCTCTTCTCTGGTCTCTCGTACTCTGGTCTCCCTCTCTCCTCTGTCTCTTTTCTCTAGTCTCTTTCTGTCTTTAGTCTCTTTCTTTCTCTCTCCCTCCTGTTTTGGGTCTCTGTCTCTTTTGTCTGTCTTTGGTCTCTCTCATCTCTCTTACTCTGGTCTCTCTGGTCTCCCTCTGTCTGTCTTGTCTCTAGTCTGTCTCTTTTCTCTAGTCTCTCCTGTTTTGTTTTTCTCTCTAGTCTCTTTCTGTCTCTAGTCTCTGTCTTTCTCTCTCCCTCTCCTGTTTTGGGTCTCTCTGTCTCTTTTGTCTTTCTCTCTGGTCTCCCTCTCTCCTCTGTCTCTCTTTCTCTCGCCTCTCTCTTTCTCTTGTCTCCAGCTTATGGTACCAATGCCTTGTTCAGTATGTGTTTTGGCCGAAAAAAAGAAAAAAGAGCGATCAGGGTCTGGGACTGGACACTCCCTGCTCTCCTCGCTCTCCGATCTCTCTAAAGCGTACTCTCTCTGTCTTTTTTTCTTTTCTATAGTCTGTACAGAAGACGGGAAGAGCATAGGAAGTAGAGGAGTTGTTGACTATTGGACATAGCTGTGTAGACGTGTGAATAAAGATTGCGAGCTTTCAACACAGCGTCTCTGTCTCTCTCTCTCTGTGTCTGGGTGTGTTGTGATGTCACATGATTCCAAAGAGCCTATAGTTTAACTGATGGAGGACAGCGGTGAAGTCCTTCCTGGTAACTCTGGAGACATTCGTGACAAATAATTAACCAATCACTGCGGGACAATCCTCACCAGTCTTTCACAACATTCCTTCACATATTTGTCAGCACAGCTCTACGGTCTCATTATGTTCTTATGAGGTTATCTCCACGTGGTCTGTCTGGTCTCTCTTCAGTTTCTTTTCTCTCTCTCTCTCTGGTCTCTCTCTTTGGTCTTTTTCTTGTCTTTGTCCATTACTCTGGTCTCTTTGGTCGCTCTCTGGTCTCTCTCTAGTCTCTCTCTGGTCTCTCTGGTCTTTGTCTCTCTCTGGTCTCTCTCACGTCTCTCTCTTTGGTCTCTCTGGTCTCTCTCTGGTCTCTCTCTCTGGTCTCTCTCTAGTCTTTGTCTCTCTCTTCTCTCTGGTCTCTCTCTTTGGTCTCTCTCGGGTCTCTCTCTTTGGTCTCTCTCTGGTCTCTCTTTGGTCTTTTTCTGGTCTTTGTCTCTCTCTGGTCTCACTGGTCTTTCTGGTCTCAATAAACTTTCCAATAATGATTTTCTCATAAAGGTGTGTAGAAGTAACAATATTGACCCCTGCGCTGTCCTCAGGGAAATTGACCTGTCACAGTGATTGAAAAATACCCTAATATTTAGGTTTTCAAGCTGATTAAGTCTTTATACCCTAATTTAGAGTATTATTACTACTTTTAAGTAGCGGGTTGTTTTGATCCGAGTGTAGCACAGGAATAAAATACCTGAGACACAAATCAAGTAATGATTTGGGAAAACGGATTGGAACATTTTCCTTTTTCAACATTTCTTTCAGCACCTGCCTCCAGTTACAACAAGAACACTCATCTCTGCGTCGTTGTGTTTTGTTGTCGACTCTAGAAGAAAATGTAAAAGTTTAAACACATTATTTAATACAGAACACCATTTGAAACTAATACCATACTTTCCATTTCTCGCGAAACTGACGTCCCAATAGTTGGACTGTTTTTCAGGAACAGATTGGACTCTTCTGGTCTCAAAACATAACATTTGAATAGATATTTTTATAAACTTAAATTTAACTTCCTCTTTGTGACAGATGACCCACATAACGTTCACCACTGATTATTAATCTGTCATAAAATCCATGTCACTAGATCTTGATTCTAAAACAGTTCTTAGTTTTCACATTTATGACCCTTAGACTTCTGTCACAGCTCTTACAAGTCTGAAAAAGTAAAGATTTATGTCCGATTTGTTCATAAACTTTTTGTTGGACAAGCGTGGAATCATGTGGAAGAAGTTGCGTATCAAAGCTTTAACTTCGAAGCCGTAGTGCAACAGCGCCGCCTGCAGGACAGACACAGCCAGACCACAAGGTATCACCGAGAATCCACTGCTATTTATTTCGACTTCAATGTACATCAAACATTCTTTATCAAATGTCAGTTCATAGATTATTCCAACATAATTTCATTAACAAATACTTTTTAAAATATTTTACATGATTAACGTTTGTTTTACGTGACGTTTGTTCTTCTCTGTTTGGTGAGAAGACAGATATACAAGTCTGAATACAAGTCTGTTCGAATGACGTTGAGACTTAAAAATGATGTTTATTCACCACATCTGGCCTCCGTCCGTGCGTCACCGTGCGTCAGACCCGCCGCTCTGTGTTTGTGCGTGATGTGGTCTCGCGGCGCCCTCTGGTGGTAACAAGAGAAACTACAGTTCAGAATGAAACGCTTGAGATGTGGTTCGGTGGAAGTAGAAATGAAGTAAATCACAACAGCCAACGTCTTGGAGGACTTCACAAAGTTGTCGATTCCTCAAAAACAGATTAGAGAAGCGAAAATTGTTCAAACAGGAAATGCAATGCTATACGATTGTACTTATATGACAACTTTTCTGTGGGAGGAAATATGAAGGCATGAAGAAAATTTGTTGAGGGTTTTGGTATTTACTTTGACATCGAGCC